GACAACTTATAAGACAACTGTCTTAGACCCTTCAAAAGTGACACTGTCATAAAAGACCAAAAAGAAGTAGGGAAATGCCTAAGGAAACAAAGACATAACATGCAATACCTGATCTTTGATTGGATCCTGGATCAAACAAAACAGATTTACAGAACATTATTCATTTCTGACCAAGATTGAGTAACAGGGACCAATTTAACCTCCCACCTGGAAGAACTGAAAAACTAGACAAAATATACAAAACAACAGTTCTCAAGACATTGGACATTGTCTCAAGGCAATGACAGATAGTGATCTCCAAGAGATGGGAAATAAATGAAGTAAGCCCTGTGACTGCCCAGCTTACTGCCTTGAGACAGTTTCCAGGCTGCGGTGCAAGGGTGGGGGAGACACGGGCAGAGACTTGTGGACTCCTTGATTAAGGAGATGGAGCTGAGAATCCAGGAAAACTGAGGTGACAAGAATTCACAAAGCAGAGTACTAGACAGAAAAGAAGTGCACAGAGAAAGAATTCTGGAGTTATGCAGAGGGATCTCTCGAGTGTTCAGCAAAGTACTGATCAGTGCATGTGTATGAGGAAACTACTCAAGGCCAGAAAAAGAAGCACTTGAAAGCATTAGACAGGCATGGTGCTGATAACACCAAGGTCAAGGGTTCAGATCACTGTACTGGCCAGCCATAAAAAGAAAACAAAGCAGCAACCACAAAAGTACTAGAAGAATAACTGAATTATACACAGGCTTAGGAATAGCACCTGTTCCCATGACAGGCTGGAAAACCTCATGAGTCAAGGGACATTGTGTACCCAGAAAGATCTTGCCTTAACAGCTGTGAACATTGAGCTCTACACTAAAGTCTCCTATGTGATCCACCCAGAACGAGGGAGAGAGAGAGAGAGAGAGAGAGAGAGAGAGAAGTATGTTAACAATAGAATCCACACAAATGATACAAGGTTGTCCATTGTACTTATTCTTTCATCTTTCTGGTAGGTTTAAATTTTTTCAAAAGAAAAATTTGAGCAAAAAAGATACCCAAACTATTGATTAGCTTATTATTATGGTTTACTGGGTGCAGTTTCAGGGAGATAAAAACTGTCTCTGTGACTGGAGTAAATCTTCCAGGTTAACTTTAAGCAGTATAGCATGATGATTAGGAATACAGATTCCATAACCAGATGAGGCTCGAATCCCAGCTCTGCTAATAATGTGACCTTGGCAAACTGCTTAATCTCTGTTGCTCAGCCTTTCTGTTATAATAGCATCTACCTCTAATGAGGTTTTAGGAAAAAATGAGTCAATACCTGAAAAGGGCCTGCCACATGGTTAAGTCCTCAATAAATGTTAATTAGTTATTAACTTGCAGAGGCTGCCAGAAAAGTAATCATGCTCTCCCACCTTGGGTGCCTTCTCTGAATCCTCCAAAATGATGACTTTATTAGGACCACGTTATGACTGTCAAAACGGAAGTGTGTTTCTTGGGTCCATGAAGGCTGAGTTGGCAGTACAATGTAAAGAGTTTTAGATTAAAACTGCATCCAATAAGTTGGCCTGACACATTTTCAAACCCCTAGAAGGGTAATTACATGTGACTAATATTATTCCTCTTGGTCTGGTGGAAGCTTCTGATCTTCATATAGAAAGAATGGACCCAGAAGAGTAATCCAGCATTTTACATCTACGGCAACCTCAACTCTGACACAAAGTGTTTGCTGTTTCTTTCCTGTCCCAACTTTTCATTTTGGAAAATTTCAAATCTACAGAAAACTTAAAAGAATGGTATAATGAACAGTTGTATACCTTTCACCTGGATTCAACAATTGGTGACACTTCACCACACCTGTCTTCAGTGTGGGTATGTTTATACACTTTCTGGGCGAACCATTTGAGAGTAAGTTGCAGACATAATGACCCCTCAGTGCTAAGCACTTCAGTGTGCATCTCATAACAACCAAGGCATTCTCCTACATACCCCAATACTATTATCACCCAGTGAAATTTAATATGAATATCTCTGTCTCCTATATAGTCCATATACAAATTTTCCCAACTGTCCCAGTTATGTCATAGATTTTTTTTAAAGCCAGAATCCAAACACCAGGCATTGCTTTTACTGTTCATGATTCTTTAGTCTCTTTCAATTTAGAACTGTTCCCCATCTTTTAAAAATCTTTCATAGCATTGACATTTTTTAAGCATTCAAGCCCATTGTTTTACAGAATGCTCCTCAATTTGGTTTTTATGATCAACCTGAATATAACAAGGAAACATTTTTAGCAAGAACACTTCATAGGAAATATTGTAGTTTTGTTATTCATTAAAAAGTATGAGCTAGGGCCGGCCCGGTGGCGCACTGCTACCGCCGAGGGTTCGGATCCCACATACAGACCGGTTCCCACTCACCGGCTGAGCGAGGTGCGGG